AGAAACGTGTCTAATTTGTTTACATGCATATAAGGAGATGGACGAGTACATATGGATCCATTTGGGTCATAAAGTAGGGGGATAATCCAATCTCTAGTCTAAGAGGCCAGCTGGCAGTATGTGACTTCCTTTCTAGCTTGAGTATCTGGCTTTACACACCATCAAGCAACAAAGTATAAGTGAATCTAAAATCAATCGGTGGTCCTTCTGCTATTTGTGGGGGGCAAATTTTGGCCTTCTGCTGTGCTTCAATGCTTGTTTCAAGATTAAGAGTGTTTCTGTTCAACACTTAAAAGCGTGGAAGAACAAAAGAAAAGGCTAGTTTGGTGATCGGGATAGTATATTGCTGAACTGAGGGAAATGATCAGTCAGACAACAAATGTCAGACAACCAACTTTCTAAATGCAACAGATTTCACAAAAACAAGACACACCCAGAAAGTGGTCTTTTGAGAAGAACTTCATAATTATGTTTCTTATCTTGTTGCAAGTGTTGCTTAGGTATCAGAAACAAGATAAGAACTTCAGCACTCTCAAGTACAATGACAATGTCATGGTGATAGCCCACAACATAATTTTTATTGCTCTGGACATCTTATGTCATGGGGCAAGGCTGAACATCATTAGGATAGTACCTTATTTAGAGATGAATGGGAACGCTGAAGTGGGGGAAGGCAGGCTGCTATCAGGGAAGGGTGGTGGTCCTCTAGGGAACTATGGACTCACAAAAGCACATCTGCTGTAACAAGACCCCAGTCCAATCTACAAAAGTTACAAAGAGAAGCATGGCTGTTCAAAATAAAAATACCGACTGCATTGGAAGATGCATGTCACATCACATTAATCACAGTTTGGTGCCTAGTTGCTATTTGCTAATCTTACAGCAACTTGTGTGTTTAGGATGGACGTTTGGCATTCTTTGAAAAAAAAAATGCTGGGGGATGGGAGGAATAGGCCATATTGATGAGTATATGTCCTGCTTGTAAATAAAATACTTTTAGACCTTCTTACTTTTGGGCTTATATACAGTAACTATTATCTCAATAAATCTTTCAATGTCATGCATGGTTTAATTGCTGATGCTAACATTTTAATACAAATAAGTTATATTTGTTGTGCATTGTTTGAGCCATAACTTATACTCAACTTTTGATATCTAAGGACTCAATTCAGAGAAACTCATTTCATGTATTTTACAGGAAAAGTGCTCAAAACTTTAAGTGTCCTGTTAAAAATGTTGTAAATGTACTGAAGACGAAAAAACATTAATATAAGCCACAAAACCACACTATCCTTGATATCAGCAAGAGATTTTGACATAATCAGCTGTTTTTGTTTATAACTGCCATTGAAGGCCATGTGCATTACTCCCAAGTTACACATTAAAAAGTCACATGTAGCTTCCCAACATCACTGCTGTTCAAACACAGCCTTATCTATTATTCAAAACTGTGGCAACATCTGAAATATGCAAGAAATATTTTTTTATTTAATGAAGTTGACCATGCACGCCTACGCTGTTTTCTTATGCAAAGGAAACAATGTTTTCAAGATTTTTTTTATTTAATTTTAAATCTCTCCAGCGAATAAGTCAAAAGTTAATTTGTCTGTACGGATATCAATAATGTGTAATATATTTTTGAATGAGAAACCAGCCTTGCCTTGAAACATCTACATCATTTTTCAATGGTCAAGACCAAGACTTGAATGCTAACAGTTAACGTCATGTCTAATATAAACCTGGGTTAGGCCCACTTACAGCCCTCAACAACTACTATCTCTCCCTTTATCATCTTTATCAGTAACATGCACACACCTAAGCACGTAAAAAGTATTACTCCTGTGAATTTTGCGTAGGCAACTCACAATTACAGGAATGCAAGCCTGATTCAGTCCAGGTTTCACTGCACTTTCATTGAAAACATTACCTAATAAACGCAGACCAGCTAAGTTAGTTGCTTCTCTACCACAGTATACAGTCATGTCACTTTGTTATCCTCACTTCAATGAAAAATACCCCTATTTAGCATAGAGAAGCACTTGGATAACAACACATAAGTATTATGGTATTATTGTGAATACAATAAGAAGTACATGACCTACAGAGCTGCTGTGTTAGATTGTAAACACAACACAAGATCAAGGTGTCCATCACTATGACCAATACTAGCACCAATACTAGACTTTTTGAAAGACTAAAAAGAGCCTTACTGGCGTTATCACAACAAAATACGTGAATACCGAAAGCAACGTATTAAAAATCGCAAACAAAAAGGCCAATTTTGATCAAAATCGCCTAGGCCCGGCTCTTCAAATAGTCTACCTTCCCCTTCTTTCACTCTCAAGTTGCGAGAAGCAAGTGTAGCAATGTGCACGCGACAGCCGGGTGTGTGACGCTGGACCAATCAGAGCGCAGAGCTCCGAAAGTTTACCTTTTATGGCAAGAGCCGGGCATCTGCCGTCATATAAAAGAGCGCGCCCAGCTCATCAGCCTCACTTTGAGCTCCTCCACACGCAGCTAGTGCGGAATATCATCTGCTTGTAATCCATTCTCTTAAATCGACAAACCCCCCCCCAAACCTAAGGTGAGTTGATTTGTAAGCTTTTATTACGCTATTAATTCGTTAATATTAATTCAAATGTTTAATTCGAATGTACAAATGAAGCTAGATTGAGTTATTAGGCTCAGTTAACGTTGCCGGTCATTTTGCAGTTTACGTCGAGTACAAACTTTGCTTAAATGTTAGTTATTCTGTATTAACATGGGGTGATTGTTATACATGTCTGCTGTGTTATCTTTACTCTATGTACTGGATATGTCCGGTGGAAATGACTGCACCCGTTGTAAACTTAGGCACGACGTTGAATGGGTCGGTGTGAAATAAGTTTTCAACCCTTTTAACCTTAAGATGTGCCCTGGATAACAGTGATTTAACGGCTGTAAATATGACTGTACAGTTTTAAGGCTGTTGGTGAGGCATGTTGCACACTTGATGGATAGCCGGTGTCGGCATGGGAAGCTCTTTGTGCAGGCAGTGCTGCAGCAGGGTGTGACCTACTTTAGCTAACGTTAGCCGGCTAACCAGCATTCATCTGCCGCCCTTAACCTGATGAAATTAATATCATCTCTTTTGATATTTAAGTGATCAAAGACGCGTCTATCAGCTCACTTTCAGCACGTCTGACACTTTCAGTGAAAATAGCTTTTTATAGCGTAGTGTACAGCCCTCCAGTCTTTTCAGTAAGACTGAATAAGTTTATTCAAGTATTCTATTAACTATTAAAGCTTTATTAAACGTAAGGTAACGTTAAGTTAGTCGGTTTTAATAACTCGAGTGTTCTGGTTGCATCTTAAATGGTGGTTAACGTTATATTCGTGTCGGAGGAAGCAATTTTTGTATCTCCTTGATGGAGGCTTTATAATATGAACTGAATGGGCTGAGGAAGATCGTGCTTTAGTGTGAAGTCTGCTCCTGAGGAGTCGTTGAAATGACTGCAGATCTGTGACGCAGTAGTTTTGGGCAGACACCCGTCGAAATTCGGTTGTGTAACTGATACCTGGCGAGGATGGAAGCGGATGTAAAACTTCATTTGTGTAGAATTTGGGGAGTGGCCCTGGCGTGATGAATGTCGAAATCTGTTCCTTTTTACTAAACCCTACGACTCTGGCTGAGTGCCACACCGCCGGCAGCCGCAAAGCGGCTTAAACCATTGCCTTTTATGGTAATAGTGAGAGAATGCAGAGGGACTTCCTTTGTCTGGCATATCTGAGGCGCGCATTGTCACTCTAGCACCCACTAGCGGTCAGACTGTAGAATGCAGCACGAAACAGGAAGTTGACTCCACGTGGTCACATGCTCACGGAAACACTCTTGCATGGCAGCTGTGCACTTATAAACGGGTTTTCTCATTCTTTTGCAGTTCAGCCATGGATGATGAAATTGCCGCACTGGTTGTTGACAACGGATCCGGTATGTGCAAAGCCGGATTCGCTGGAGATGATGCTCCCCGTGCTGTCTTCCCATCCATCGTGGGTCGCCCCAGACATCAGGTGAGAAACGGAGGATTCATTTCAGGCTGCTTAATGAGAATTATTTTTACTTCCTAGTTCCTTTAACGTTTATCTAATTAGCAAGAGAGGTATCCTGACCCTGAAGTACCCCATCGAGCACGGTATCGTCACCAACTGGGATGATATGGAGAAGATCTGGCATCACACCTTCTACAACGAGCTGCGTGTTGCCCCAGAGGAGCACCCCGTCCTGCTCACAGAAGCCCCCCTGAACCCCAAGGCCAACAGGGAAAAGATGACACAGGTTGGTTTTTGGCTATCAAGCGATGCTTTGAAGTCTTGTCTGTCCTGTTACCTCATTTTAAGTTCTCCTGTTCATTCATTCACTTCCTCCAGGCTTTGTGTCCTCTGAGTTTCTCCTCTTTTGCTGGAAGCAGCAGGTTATCTATACTTTGCCTGCCTGTTTTGCAGTTTTCTGCCACACTCTTATTGTTTATGCACTTTTGGTTTCTTTACTCCACATTTCCAACTAACCTCTGCATGGATGTGTGGATCATGTGCTGCAACCGTTTTGAGCGTGACGTTAACTTTTCAATCCCTCTCTTTCCAGATTATGTTCGAGACCTTCAACACCCCCGCCATGTACGTTGCCATCCAGGCTGTGCTGTCCCTGTATGCCTCTGGTCGTACCACTGGTATCGTGATGGACTCTGGTGATGGTGTCACCCACACTGTGCCCATCTACGAGGGTTACGCCCTGCCCCATGCCATCCTCCGTCTGGACTTGGCTGGCCGTGACCTGACTGACTACCTCATGAAGATCCTGACCGAGAGAGGCTACAGCTTCACCACCACAGCCGAGAGGGAAATTGTCCGTGACATCAAGGAGAAGCTCTGCTATGTGGCTCTTGACTTTGAGCAGGAGATGGGCACCGCTGCTTCCTCCTCCTCCCTGGAGAAGAGCTATGAGCTGCCTGACGGACAGGTCATCACCATTGGCAATGAGAGGTTCAGGTGCCCAGAGGCCCTGTTCCAGCCATCCTTCTTGGGTAGGTGTCCTAACAAACATTACCTGCTCTGTCGGTGTACTTCTCGATTTGATTTGGAGGAGATTTGAAGAACTTTGGGTAACCGTTCATCTTCCTTTTGCAGGTATGGAGTCTTGCGGTATCCATGAGACCACCTTCAACTCCATCATGAAGTGTGACGTTGACATCCGTAAGGACCTGTATGCCAACACTGTATTGTCTGGTGGTACCACCATGTACCCTGGCATTGCTGATAGGATGCAGAAGGAGATCACATCCCTGGCCCCCAGCACAATGAAAATCAAGGTGAGCTGTGCTCTGAACTTTGACTTGCCTCTCATATCAGTCTTTGTGGCAGCTGTGCATCTTGCTAATCGTTCATCTCTCCACAGATCATTGCCCCACCTGAGCGTAAATACTCTGTCTGGATCGGAGGTTCCATCCTGGCCTCCCTGTCCACCTTCCAGCAGATGTGGATTAGCAAGCAGGAGTACGATGAGTCTGGACCATCCATCGTCCACCGCAAATGCTTCTAAACGGACTGTTACCACTTCACACCGACTCAACGAGCTGCGTGTTGCCCCAGAGGAGCACCCCGTCCTGCTCACAGAAGCCCCCCTGAACCCCAAGGCCAACAGGGAAAAGATGACACAGGTTGGTTTTTGGCTATCAAGCGATGCTTTGAAGTCTTGTCTGTCCTGTTACCTCATTTTAAGTTCTCCTGTTCATTCATTCACTTCCTCCAGGCTTTAAGCAGGAGTACGATGAGTCTGGACCATCCATCGTCCACCGCAAATGCTTCTAAACGGACTGTTACCACTTCACGCCGACTCAAACTGCGCAGAGAAAAACTTCAAACGACAACATTGGCATGGCTTTTGTTATTTTTGGCGCTTGACTCAGGATCTAAAAACTGGAACGGTGAAGGTGACGGCAATGTTTTTGGCAAATAAGCATCCCCGAAGTTCTACAATGCATCTGAGGACTCAAGTTTTGTTTTTGTTTTTTCTTTAGTCATTCCAAATGTTTGTTAAATGCATTGTTCTGAAACTTATTTGCCTCTATGAAGGCTGCCCAGTAATTGGGAGCATACTTAACGTAGTATTGTATGTAAATTATGTAACAAAACAATGTCTGGGTTTTTGTACTTTCAGCCTTAAAATCTTGGGTTATTTTTTTTATTTTTATTTTTTTCCCCTTTGTTCCAAAAAACTAAGCTTTACCATTCAAGACGTAAAGGTTTCCATTCCCCCTGGGCATATTGTAAAAGCTGTGTGGAACGTGGCGGTGCCAGACATTTGGTGGGCCAACCTGTACACTGACTAATTCAATTCCAATAAAAGTGCACATGTGTAAGACATCCTACTCCTGTGTGACTTTCTGTTTGTGCTAAATTAACTTGCTCTCAAGTCTTTCGGTAGATTCCCTCTTTAATAAAAGCAGTCTTGCTTTCCTTAAAGTGTTGTGGGCCTTCACATTTCTCAGATTTCTTCAATTAGAGCACTTGAGTGAAGTGGAAATATGAGTTATCTTGGCCTGTTAAATGTAGATTTAGCTGGGTGTTCTAGGTGTTATTTTGACATGTCCCTTACAGTGGGGTACTTGCAATGGCAGTAAATGGGGCCAATTCCTAAATGTTAAAATACACAGTTTCAAAAGTATAGCATGAGACTATGTGTGTAAACATGACTGGGAAAAAATGCTTACCAAGCTTTTCTGTGTATAGTTTTATCCAATTTTACAACTTTATTGCCATGACAATGCTATGCAATAAATCCTAAAATGACTGTGAAAGTTATGAAGTTTCAGAGGAATTAGTGTAAGTCCTTTCATTAAATTAAGCTTCACGTGTTTGCTTTCCTACAAAAAAATTGGCCACATTTACTTGCAATGCAAGTGCCTCAACATAACCTCAATTTTTTTTTTTTTTTTTTTTTTTTTTTGGTAAATTATGCATATTTATGCCTATAATGCAGAATAATTTGCTCTAATGATCTTTTGAGAATCTCGGACCAATCTAACCAAACAATGTCCACATTATCTGTTCTGCATTTCCTAAAATTACAAATGGTTTTCAAAACTGAATGTGCTTAAATGTAGTTTGAAACTGCCTTTAAGTTTCCATGGGATAAAGTTATACCAAGGCTTCAGGAGGACACCATTTAAAAAAAGTCTTGGGTCAAAAATGTCTGCCACCATGGCTGACATATAACTGTTCATGCATATAAACAAATGTATTACCAAACATGACTTTGGGCATCTAAAGTATGTAAGAATAATCAAGCTGCTATTAAAAGGTTTTTTTAATAGGTAGCTGACCCAAGGGGTTAACAAATCATTTGTAACTTCATATCTCAACTATTTAATATTAATCAGTTTCTTACGGTATCAAGAAGCGGTTGTGAATGCATAATTGCTCCTTTATATTGATAAAGTCTACATCTTTGTAAGAGCGCACGCATTATGCCACCTTAGGGTCAGATGGTGCTGCATTTTAATTTGTGCGTTACATAAGTGTACAGCAGATGGCGCTACACTCACAGTAAAGTTTAAACTAAGTTCTTGTTGCTCTGTAAGACAACAGCCACTAAATAGAGACCAATGGTAGGCGAACTTAAACAAGGTGCAAGAGACTCAGTGTTTTCTCCTGGGAAGAATAAAAAAATATATATTTTAGTAAAAGTGATATGAAATAGAAAAACGTGGCACATATCCAATTTGCGCTAACAAAATACTCTAATAAGTGGCTGCTGTTTTTAGGTTGATCCTGGTGTGCTTGAACTTGGTTATTGATGTAGTAGATACTTATAAATATGGGTGGCCTAGTTGCATATAATTTACTGCAGGCTGCTCCTCGTCTGACAGCACTTGATGAAAAATAATCAAGAGATTTTCCTGCTGTGTACATCTGTGCGAGTGTACAGCATAATACAGATTGTGCTTTAGTAATAGCTGAGGTAACTTTCGGTGTATTGAATAACATCAATATTCATTATTTATCTAACCAACATACTACCATATTCTCTTTTTAGATTTATTTTATCTGTATCTTTTATTACCACTGACCATTTAATAATTTTTATTAAGCTGGCCTTAATCTTTCATCTATTCATTAAGCAGCATTAAGAATGTTGCGAATCTCATAATCAGCCGAGTTCATCTGAATTCGCTCTCTACCCCCAACACAAGCACACAATGTCATTCTTCCCTTCAACTTAGCCTCCCACGTACATTCATGCATCCCACGGGGACTTGTGCCTCAGCAAACGCCCGCGTGCGTCGACTTGATTGTGGTGCGGTATGTTCACGCAGGAACGCAGGCCACGCGCGAATGTTCCCCTCCATTCATGATGAAATAATTACACAGAGGACAAGCCACTAATAAGTGAGTAGTGGGCGACAGAGGCATCAGCATTCACAGCGCTATTTCTCATTGATTGCGCAAATTATTCGAGAGACTCATTTAGTCCTGTCCCACAGACATGAGCATTTGTGATTGATTGCTTAATGCAAACTAGACTGAAGGATGTTTTAATTTGGTTGTGATTTTATAATGAACAGAAGCGAGGGCTGCTGCCGGAGGTGTTGTGCCTGTGATATGGACGAGCTCCAGTGTCATTAGATCCATTGTGCTCGGGGCCCCTGTAGAGCTGTGGTCAAATGAGCACTGGAGGTCTCAGAACAATTTCGTGGTGCCTCAGTGTCCGACTGAGCGTGTAGGAGGTTTTCTGCTCACAGCAGCGTCACCTCCAGGACAGACCCTCTATCTAACCAGTGTTATTTTAGTCTCATTGAGATGCTATTATAGTTTTTATAGTTATTCATATTTTGAATGTTTTATTTTTATATTTTGTTTTCATTTTATCTTTAAAGATTTTGTATCATTCTTATTTTTAAATATCTATATTTTTTATAATTTATATTATTATTTCAGTTTGAGTTATTTTAGTACATCAGCTTAAAATTGGCTTTGCAATTAGCTAAAACAATATAAGATAAGATAAAATATTTCAAATAAATATTTTTAAATGAACCACCAATGAACTTCTTATTTTATTTTTAAAAGAATTATTTTTTTTAAAGCGAATCAAATTTGTTGTCACCTAACTCCAAAATAAATGGAAATATTTCATTAAAAGCCAGTCTGTCCTATACAGGTTTTATTCATTATAATTTTAGTTTGTTAATTTTAGTTCAACAACTTAAAATAAATATAAAATGAGAAATTGCCTTGGCAACTAATTGAAATAAATTAAGCTTAAGTTTTTTTTAACATGTTAATTTATTTCAGTTAAAATTTTGTTTTATTTCAGGAACAAAATTATTATTATTTTTTTTACAATGAAACACTTTTTTCAATTATGTATTTTTTTAACAAATGAAACCTGCTGTCACCTAACTCCAATATAAACTGAACTATTTCATTAACCCTTGTGCGACCTTTTGGACATTTTTGTCCTTTTCAGTTTTTTTTAATTTCTTTTTTTTTATCATTTTGCCTGTGTTATTGCCAACTGCATAGATTTTGGCACAAGTGTGTATTTTTATTGGAATTTTACTATTTCACTTCCATTACCTTTAATAAATCTGTTTTGCACTGTACACAAAATTGTTCCTCTCAGGACCTTAAGGACAAAAATGTCCCCATTGAAACCCATTAAAACTGCTATTTTTAATCGCAGTGCCATTTAACTGTAAAATGATGCAATTTTTGTTGATAGGCTTTCATTATATTGGCAAGGCTTTAATTTTTTTTTTTTTTACCAGATGGAGCCATTTTTTCAGGTTTGGCCTATAAAGCAAAT